ACAGACTTGAGAGAGATATTTATATAATATAACATATTATACATTGTATTAATAAAATTGTTTAATTTTTTGCAGTCTACAACAAGATGAAGGACGATGATCTTGTTGGATTTGCTGATCCAAATACGGTCAGTGACAATGATGATAATGAAGATAATGAAATTGCTAGTATTAAAAAAAAGATTTCCAAGAAATCTGGAGGATTTCAATCTATGGCTCTTAGTTTTCCAGTACTGAAAGGGATCCTCAAACGTGGATACAAAATACCTACACCTATACAAAGAAAGGTTATTAAAAAACATGTATATTCTATAAGCAAATATAGTTTACATTTTGAGATTACAACTTTCTTAAACTTGATTAACATTAATATAAAATTTATTTTTTGTAGACTATACCATTGGCTCTCGAGGGAAGAGATGTAGTAGCAATGGCTAGGACAGGTAGTGGAAAGACTGCTTGCTTTTTAATTCCTTTGTTTGAAAAACTCAAGGCAAGGCAAGCAAAAACAGGTGCATGTGCATTGATACTATCGCCTACACGTGAGCTGGCACTGCAGACATTAAAGTTCATAAAGGAATTGGGAAGATTTACAGGATTAAAGTCAGCAGTGATACTGGGAGGTGACAGTATGGATAATCAATTTAGTGTAATTCATGGAAATCCTGACATCATTGTAGCTACTCCAGGTAGATTTCTGCATATATGTGTGGAGATGGATCTGCAGTTGAAAAATATTGAATACATTGTTTTTGATGAGGCTGATAGGTAATAGTTTCTTCTTTCTCATGATATAATTTTTAATATTTGCATTTATGTGAAGTGATAATTGAATTGTAGATTATTCGAAATGGGTTTTGGAGAACAGATACAAGAAATTGTAAATAGATTACCAGAATCACGTCAGACACTATTGTTTTCTGCTACTTTGCCTAAGATTCTAGTAGATTTTACAAAAGCTGGTCTAAGTGATCCAGTTTTACTTCGTTTGGATGTTGAAAGTAAGCTGCCTGAAGGATTGACATTATCTTTTATTACGTGTCGCCCTGAAGAAAAATTAGCCGTACTTCTAAGCTTACTAAAAAGAATTATTAAGCCCGAGTCGCAAACAATTATATTTGCGGAAACTATGCATCATGTAGAATATATTCATCAGGTAATCATCAATGTATATGCTTGCCTTTTAAATATATTTTATAAATACTTTGGCAATCGAATAATAGCTTTATAAAATATTTGTAGATATTAGATAAAGCGGATATATCTAACACTTTCATTTATTCGAATCTGGATCCTTCTGCGCGTAAAATAAACGCGGCTAAATTTCAAGTTGGTAAAGTAAGAGTTCTCATAGTGACAGATGTTGCCGCTAGAGGAATAGATATACCACATCTCGACTGTGTAATTAATTTTAATTTTCCTGCAAAATCTAAACTTTTCGTACACAGAGTAGGTATGTTCTTTTGTAATTGTTTCTTAATTATTATTAAAACACACAGGCACTTTTGACTGATTATAATTATTTACTCTGCAGGGCGATGTGCTCGAGCTGGACGTGTTGGAACGGCATATAATATTGTGAGCTCGGATGAACATCCTTATCTCTTAGATTTGCATCTCTTTCTTGGTCGATCTTTAACAATAGTGCCAACTACAGAAACCGATGAAAATGTAGAATATGCTGTAGGAAAATTGCCACAAGCCATGATAGAGGAAGAATTAGCTGAATTAATAAATTGGCACAATACTTCTACTGATTTGGTAAGCATACTGTGAGCATATCTACGTTGATAAATAAATTAGTATAATTCAATCTTTTTTGTTGCATTTAATGAATATGTGTGTTTTCAGATAAATATGCGAAAAGTATGCAACAACGCCTATCAGCAATACATTAGATCGCGACCAAGTGCTTCGACAGAAAGTGTCAAAAGAATTAAAGAGCTTCGCATAAATGAAGCCGGAATTTTACCCCAGTATTCTGATGCTTTTTACATTAATACAGCGGATCTAATATCTAAGATGAAAAATTATAGACCGCAAGGAGTGAGTAGGACGCCTTATATACATAATAAAACATGCTTCAATATCTAAATTTAATATCTAAATCTAAATATCGCTTTTAATATCTAAATCTTTTAACAGACGATATTTGAAATTGGCACGAAGACAAATTCAACCGATTATCAAGTGATGAAAGTAAAACGAATGTTTCATAAGGAAAATATTCTTAATTTCCGTAAAAAGATGGAAGAACATAAAATCGATAAAATCAATATGGCATCAGGTAGATGTTATGATAGCAATATATACTTAAATACCGTATATATGTGACAATATTTACGTTAAACTTTTTAATTTTTGTAGAATTATCTCAAAAAGTCAATCTACCATCCAGTAACACGGAAGAAATTAATGCTGCATTTAGAACGGTGGTAGTTCCAAAGAAAATAAGTAGTGACGATTTATATAAACTTTCAAAGAAGAAGAAACGTTTAACGAAACGGGATGAAGAATATTATATACCTTACTCTGCATCAGATAAACATACGGAGGATGGGTAAGAATCGCTATATTTCGGTTTTTATAACTTATTTTTTTAAATTATTACAAAAAAGAATTAAAATTATTATTAATATATATTTTAATTCATTAAAAATAAATATATAATTTTAAAAATATTTTTAATTTTCTATTATTGTTTATTCTACGTTTGTTTATCTTATAGTTTAGCAGTTAACACGTTTGCCACTGAAGTTGACAAGGCGCAGATGGATTTAACAGCTGATAATGAAGAGAGTCAACATCTTCAAACGCAATTGAAAAAATGGGATAGGAAAAGGAAGAAAATGATCACCATCGAGAGGGTATATACATTAGCTTATACATCATTTCTATTTATCATGAAACATGAATATACATATATTCTGCATTATATCAACAGGACCCGAAGGCGAAAAAAATACGCACTGAATCGGGAGTATGGATATCTGCTACGTACAAAACAAATCGTTACAATGTCTGGAAGGAGAAGAGTAAAATCGACGAAAACGACAGCGAAGATGATAGTGAGGAAGAACCTTCACAATCGAAAAATTGTAAGTTAACATGATCGTATTAATTGCAAAAATATATTTCATCTGAATTAATCTAAACAATACACTACATATATTTAATTGATGCATCTAAAAACATTTCTTTTATAAATTTTTATTTCCGTGCATTTAATTTGTTCTAAACATCACTCATTAAAATAATTGGCGTACTTTACTTACGTGTTTCAGTACGAGCTACTGCAAATACGCATTGGGCGCGGCACAACCAGAAGCTTAAAAACAAGATTAAAATAAAGAACGAGCTGAAGCGACCCGAACAAGTCTTGAAGGCACGCAAACTTCTAGAGAAAAAACGCCAGAAAAATGGCAGGAAAAGAAATAAAGGTCAAAAGAACCGTACAAGGAAACATTAAGACATTTTCGATGTTCAAAGTACATTATCATTATAATACAATTTATTTTATGCATTGGTTTTTCTCGGTTAATTACCACTTCTTCTCTTGCACTATTCCCATTACTCATATTTACCATGTAATCAACATGACACGCTAGAATGGAGAAACGAGTGAAAGCCAAAAGATACTACACATAGTAGAAATAGTTACTATAATTAAAAGTATACTTTATATCAAAGTTATAATTTCAAACGATGATGTATCTTTATGATTAAGAATATATAATCGCAATATAATTTGATTTGAGGTGTAACAGTTTTAGCGCACGCGATATAAATTTTAATATATATATAATAAAGCGTGACATAATACATATTATGCATGACACAAATACAACGCATCGGCTAAAAATAATCACAAACGGTTCGATAATATCTCTCGAGAGCACAGTGACCTTATAAGCAGGTGTTGTGCGATTTAGAATGTTTGGCTTTGCAGCATCATCGTCATAATAACATAGTGACTGGGTTGCACAACTGTGGGCCTCCCGTAAGGCAAGATATTACGAAGATTTCGCTAGACATTTGCCTTCGCGCGAAGCCTTAAGAAATTTCCGCGTCATCAAAGGAGCTCGCAACTTCCCACTCTATGAGGAAGGAAAAAAAACCTGGATTGGTGCGATCGTAAATTTTGTTGAGAGTTAAATTAACCATCGGAGAAAATTTACTTCTGAGCGTTACGAGAATCACGGGACGGCCACATGAGGCAGAAGATCTGCATGCATAAACAGCTTCTGTGAGAGCGTTGGCTACTCTCCACTCGAAAGTATCTTAAGAAAATTTTCAGCATATTAAATTCAGTATATTATTATGACATACCAAATTGTAAAGATATTCGTATCGCGTAAAATGAAGAACGGAATAACAATGCGCAGTAATGTAGTTATATTGTCATTGTACATACCGGTAGTATATTAATGATAACAAGTTGTCGCGACATTATATCTTCCGATTATCTGAAATGTGGCTTTATCACGTCAACTTTTCTGTCGCATCCGTCGCGCGGCAATGTTTTCTCGATAATTAAAGATATCAATAACCAACACAGAATACTTTCAGTCATAAAGAGGCACGGCTATCTCTTCGCGGAGATTATATATAGTAAAAAGAAAAAAAGAAAAAGTATAGTAATTAAGACATCGATCTCTGACGCCTAGTCTCATTGACTATTATTAACAGTTTATTAGCGCATATGGTTGATCGGCTTTCGTATCTGTATCATAGGCAAGCCCTTCTCTTTTTATGCGAGTATGCCTCGTTAATCTAGAAAACATGGGGTAAGTATACAATGCGCATCGTAATTAGTTGGGCTGCAAGCTGGAGTGCAACCAGATCCGAAGGAGATTCGAGCTGCTTCGATTTCAAATTCTCTTGAGATGATCCAACAACGATTCAAACGATGTTTTTTTTTCTTTCTCTCGATGGCGGAAATATGTACATATATTTGTGCTCATACATAGTTCCGGCTGCGTTCCCATTCAGAGCATCTATTATGTATTATAACTAACACCGCGTTTGCGTTTGTTCTTTTGAGACACAGTAATACCAGCAGCTCTTAATTCTCTACGCTTCTGTAAAGCTGCTAGCCTGCGTGCCTCTTCTAATTGTTTTTCACGTGCTTTACGTTTAGCCTTCTTGCCCTGAGTATTTGCTAGCCTAGCATGTGCCTCAGACAGCATCTCCAATTCTGTGAACAAATACAATATCATTGAAAATTTACAGTTGCTTTATTATAGACTATAATTGGTTCTGATGTAAAATATATGATAAATGTGTGTGTGTTAATAACACAGTTAGCTTTCCATTTTCACATAAATGACTGAGTTTAAAGTTATGTATTTTATACTCAGATAATGTCATTACTTGCTCACTTTGGTGACAAAGTTATCGCATCACAACACAAGTTTTAAAATCTCATTTTTAATGTGAGTTAACAAGACTCAGTAAAGCACACATCTTGAGTTTGTGCAGAGTATAGGTAAAAACTCAGTTGAATCTCACTTAGATTTCAGAATGAAAAAGAATATGCATTCAACTGAATTATGACATCATAAATGAGAAATATCTGAGTTTTAATGTAAACGGAAAACAACATTTTTAATTAACCTTATTAAACCTTATTAATAAACAACCTACCATCTTCATCCATATCTTTAGAATCTGGTCTCGCTGGTTTGGTTTCAGGATTGGGATCAATTTCGCTAGGTTTAAGTTTACGAGGATCATCTATGGTATCATCTCCTTCTTTCTTTTGCGCTTGATCACTGAAATAATTCAATAATAACGCAAGAGTATATTGATTAGAGTAAATCGTTTAATGTCCGTTTCTATCAATGTAGATTAGCTTTAATCTTGATTCAACTTACTCTTCATCTTTTTCTAATTCTTAGAACTAGAAAAAAATGAAGAGTTTGTTGAACCGAGATTAAAATTAAATCACATTGGTAGAAATAGGCCTTACTCGAATAAAGCCTGATGACTATTGACTTTTCGTTGACTTCTAACTTTCGTTGACTTTTCGCTGACTTCTAACTGAGAGACTGACGTTACGGACTGAATGACTGACTGACTACTATTGCCGACGCGTTTTCTCGCGGGCTCCTATAATTTATACCTTAAAAAGGAGCGTCTTTTCCTTTGTCCAGGACAATTGTTAAGTTGCAATGTCAAGCTGTGATTTACGTTTTTTCTTAGGTCCTATCGTGGTTAATCTCGAGTGCTTTGAAGGGGAGGTAATTTACGATTTTCTCGAGTTTGCGGGAAAATTGCTCCGAGTGGATGTCAAATTTTATTATGCCGTGAAAAATATAGCTGGGTAAACCATTATTCGTAACATTTAATCAGTTCTTAGGATGTTCGCGTGTAGGGCAACCGTTGTCAATCTTAAGTCTGGTTTTATGTCTTGGCGCGACATGGCGCCGGCTTTATCTTTACTTAATATAGAATTGTTAGTCACCCTCGGGTGGCGGCTTGGGTGTTTGCTATTTCCTTATATGGGCATATTTTGTAATCGTACCGCTTCTAGCCCCGCGTTTTTACCTAATATGGAATTGTTAGTCTGCCTCAAGTGGCAGCTAGGGTATGATGCAGATATATAGATTTCGCAAGCTTAGCGTTTCCAGCTTCGTATCAGCGCTGTTGTTTTTCCTTTCTTGAGTGGCATTTATGAGTTTTCGTGGAAGCTTTTTAGGCCTTCTAATTCTTTTAAATTGTTAACAGGAGATTGCACTCGAATCTCATAAATGCCATCGTCAGTCGCAGCGTCTTTCGAAAGAAAATCAATACATTCAAAAAGCAAAATGCAGCTATGGCTAAAATGGTATGTCATCTATCTTCTTTTTCTTTCACAAATGTACATTTAATTATGGCAATGAAAATGTCTTATTTAAAAATTTAACTACTATTATCTAAAATACAATTATAGTTCGTAGCTTTCAGTATAGCAACTTTTGTATTATTCTATAAACGTTAGTATAAAGTAGTAAGTTGCACATGATCTTTATATTAGTACCTTGAATAAGGTACTAATGTATATATATATTTATATATATATTAAATACACATATAATAAATACACATAATATTGGGCGAGTTCAAGACGGCAAAGCGGCTA